GGTGAAGTCCTTAATGGGACCCTAAAGTCTGACAATCCCCACCCCAAACCCCTCATTTTCTCTCTCAACTCTTCTGTCTTCAACCTCTGTCATAAAGTCAACCTGGGTGTTGGGATGGAGGAAGCCCTGATTTAAGAGCCCTGCAGACAAGGTTAAGGTGCTCCAAGATTGGTAGATCACAGAAGCGAAGCTGCCTCTGTGGAAATTGGGAGAGGCCAGTCACACAGGAAAGGTTATAAAGGATCTTTTGCGTGCACCATTGGGTGAGAGCCAAGTGGCCAAACTGTGACATTGGCCATCTTTGACTTTCTTTTCTCCCTCCAGTAAAGATTGCGTGTATCCATATGAGTGGGATTTCAAGGGCTTTCTCCACTTTTCTCACTCTGTCATTGGACCCACTTTTTATTATTATTTTTATTATGATTATTTATTATCTTTTAATTGATCATTGTTCAATACAGTTACAAGCTTTCATATTTGAGTTTCAATTATACAATGATCAAACACCCATCCCTCCACCAGTGCGCATTCTCCACCACCAATGTCCTCAGTATTTCCCGTGTCTCCCCCCCTACATTCCAACCCTCCAACCCTCCCCCTGTGTCTATGGCAGACAGTTTCCCCCATACTCTCTCTCTCTCCTTTTGGGCATTATGGTTTGCAATACAGATACTGAGAGGCTATCACATTTGGTCCTTTATCTACTTTCAGCACACATCTCCCATCTTGAACAATTCCTCCAACCATCATTGACATGGTGATCCCTTCTCTATCCCAGCTGCCTTCTCCCCCCACTCATGAGGCAAGCTGCCAACCATGGGGCGATATTCCAGTGGGTACAGTTTCAGCTTTGGGAGTGACTGAACTATCCATGCACCAAAAACAAAGGCAGAACGTGGGTGATAATGAAGGGATGAAGTCTCTTCTATTAATTTCTGCGTCTCCCACCACCTCCCTCTCCACCATACCACCCAAGAATGAAACAATGTGATTCATAAACTGTTTTCAAAATCAGAAATGGAATCAGAAAGTTGGGTCAGCACATTTCCTTCCATTTAGATTTTTTTTTAATTTCTGATATTCATCACAGCCGTCAGGTTTTACGTGATGGTTTACCTGACATAGCTGTAGCAACAAAATCAATAGTTGCCATCCTTCCTGTGAGCTGCATGAACGGCGGACCCTTGCACAGATTTGCACATGAAAATGAAAGACCCCGTTTGTGAGGATTCTTCGGGCTGGAGGGAAGTGAGGGAAGTAAGAAAGCAGGAAGAGGGAAGTTGACGTGGTTGTTTGAGTTGCCCATGCTTCCGTGTCAGTTTCATGATTGTTTTTGTTTTGTTTTGTTTTGTTTTTCATTTTTTTGGAGTCACACCTGGCAATGCTCAGGAGTGACTCCTGGCTCTGCATCAGTAATTACTCCTGACAGTGCTCAGGGGACACTATGGGATGCAGGAGGATCAAACCTGGGTCAGTCGCGTGCAAAGCAAGCACCCGCCCCACTGGACTATCACTCCTTGATCGAGGCATTTTTTTTTCCAATGACATTTAACTTCATAAATGTAACTCACGATTTCTTGGGGAGGGCTGTAAGGCCTATTGTTGGTAAAACTCCTTGACCTCCTTTTGCATCCTCAGGGATAGAAATTGCATTCACTGCTCTTTTTCGTCAAATCTACCGAGGGCCCATGACTAAATGACTTGTAATGATCTCAGTGGCCAGGGTCCTGGAGTAGAGGTCCCTAGAACGTAGCCTGGGTCCAGCAACCCCCTCTTTGGGGGAGATGCTGCTTCTATTTTTACATCTTCCTATAATGCCAGGGTCCCTCCTGCCTGCTACAGGCTCAGACGACACGGCCACAAGACAGTCATGAAATTGGAACCAAATTTCAAATTCATCGGGAAACGTCTCCTCTTCTGTCTGAATTTAGCCGTTCTCTGTAATTACACGGCACATGGGCTGTGTTTACTGCTTTCACTGACCACAGAAAGGTCAGACCCTATTTCTAGATATAATAAATGGTTCTTCTGATGACCTCCCACTCCTGGGCTAATATCCAGAGATTTTCTTCCTTGCTTCACTCTCTAATTTGGGAGAGAAAAAGAGAAAGCTAGTTTATCTGCCATGTTCTTTTTTTTTTTTTTGAGATAAATGACTTTGTATTTTATCCTTTTAAGGAAAATATTATGATACTTTTTTTTCGATTTGAAAGATCTGAGGTGCTGTCCCCTCACCAAACTTTTTTTTTAAGTTGGTGCCACACCGGAGAGCCCGGCAAGCTACCAAGAGTATTCGATATGCCAGACACAGTAACAACAAAGTCTCCAATGGAGACGTTACTGGGCCCGCTCGAGCAAATCAACGATCAACGGGAGGGCCTTTACCTTTACCTTTACCTTTGGTGCCACACCTGGCAGTGCTCAGGGATCATGCCTGGAAAGGCTTAGGGAACCATATAGTATTCTGGGGATTGAATCTGGGTTGGCCAATGCACTACTCACTGTACTTCAGTCCATCACCAATTTTTTTTAATTTATTTTTCATTGAGTCATGGTGAATTACACAATTACAAAGCTGTCTGTGATTGGGTTTAAGTCACACAATATTCCAACACCCATCCCTCCACCAGAGTCCACTTCCCATCACCAATGTCCCCAGTTTCCTTCCCACCAGCCCCTCCCGAGTCTACGTCTAATACAGGCATTTTTCTTCTTTCTCTCTCCTTCTTCCTCTTCTTCTTCCTCCTCCTCCTCCTCTTCTTCTTCTTCTTCCTCTTCTTCTTCCTCTTCTTCCTCCTTCTTCCTTCTTCTTCTTCCTTCTTCTTGTTCTTCTTCTTCTTGTTGTTGTTCTTCTTCTTCTTCTCCTTCCTCTTCCTCTTCCCCTTCCCCTTCCTCTTCCCTTTTTCTCCCTCTCCCCCTCCCACTCCTCCCCCTTTACCCCTTCCCCCTCTTCCCTGCTTCTCCCCCCTCCTCCCCTTTCCTCCCCTTCTCCTTCTTCTTCCTCTTCTTCCATTTCCTCCCTTCCTCCCTCTTCCTCTCTCCTCTCCACTAAATATTTTTACTTTTTAACGGCTAATTATAGATGAGATTAAGTTCCTTTGTTTGTTGGTTTGGGAACCATACCTGACAATTATTCCTGGCTTAACCTGACCTGGTTATTCCTGATTCTGCAGTCAGGAATTATACCTACTCCCCCCCACCACCCCGTAATTCCAACTTGGGGGAGGCTGAGACTAGAACTCACTTGGCTATACAAGGCAAATGCCCCACCCTGCATTGATCCCAAGTGTGCATGCCTGTCCTCAAGAAATGGGCTTTACCACTCACTCTAAGCTCATTCCAGAGTAATCACTGCCACAGCCAGAAAGATGGGGGGGGGGGGGAATCTAACCCCAGCACACAGCCAGCCACACTTTAATCCTCAGTACCGCATCTGGTCCTCCGTGCACTGCCACAAGTGACCCCTGAGCACAGAGTCAAGTATAGCCCCTTAAAAACTAGTGGGTCTGCCCCCTCCCCACCCCAAACCTCCAAGAAAATTTAAAAAATCAAAACAAAACCCTAACACAGGGATCATCTGCAAGTGGCCTGTTGAACGTCTTTCCACCTGGAGACGGAAGAACAGTTTGGATATCAGACCGTGGGGAGAACAAGCAAGATTAGAAGAAGCAGGATGCAGATTGGGAGTCTGGAAGTGGGGTGTGGTCAAGAATCTCACCCAGCCCACCCACTCTCAGGAGTCCGGGGTCATTTCCACACTTGGCGTCAGCTCTTTTTTTTTTTTTAATTTACATACAAGTGGTACTACATGAAAAGTATCATGTTAAGCGAAATGAGTCAGAAAGAGCGGGATAGACACAGAAAGATTGCATTCATCTGGGGAACATAAAGCAACAAAATGGGAGACCCAGGAGTGGCCGAGATTAGTACCAGGAATTTTGCTCCATGACTTGGAGGCCAGCCACATGTGCTAGGGGAAAAGGGAGCTCAGATAGAGAAGGGAGCACCAAATAAAGGGTGTTGGGAGGATCCTCCCAGGGTGGGAGAAGCTTGCTGAAAGTAGACTATAGAACAAACATGATTGGCATCAGCTCTTGGGCCCTTCCTTTCACGTTGGCCAACCCCCTTTCCTTCCCCGGGTGTTCCGAGATGTAGGCTCCGAGCTCGGAAACTAATTTTAGATTTAGCCGAAGTGAAACTTAATTAGGAAAGTGACTCATGTGTGCCTTGCGGTGCTTTTCTTTGGAATCCTTTGTTCCCTCCTGATGTCAAGAGTTGGAGGAGTTAGGAGTCTCTCTACTTTTTTATTTACCCTAGGATGGAAGAGGGGTCACGGGACTGGGTGGGGAATTGGGGGGATCCAGGGAGCAAGACCCCACTGCTGCCCTTTATGTTCCAGTCTCAAGAACTCTGCACCAGGCCAGAGTGACAGTCTAGCAGGAAGGGCGTTTGCCTTGCACACAGCTTACCCGGGTTCGATCCCCGGCATCCGCTAGGGTCCTCTGAACACCGCCAGGAGTGATTCCTGAGTACAGAGCCCGGAGTCAGCCCTGAGCATCACTCAGTGTGATTCAAAAAGCCAAAAAAATAAATAAATAAAAGATCTCAGAACTGTTCCAAGCAAATTTCATGTCTGCCAGATCTTGGGGTCAAATGCCACCAGGCCTCTGATGTGGTTTCTGCCCATTGGGGGCTTCAGAAAGTCCCTCTCTCTCTCTCTCTCTCTCTCTCTCTCTCTCTCTCTCTCTCTCTCTCTCTCTCTCTCGCCTCATCATTAGCTTTATATCGGATCTTCCTGATAGAGGCAAAGAAAACACCTTGCATCCTTTTAGGATGTTCTTCAAGGCATCCTGGCAGCCTTCCATGGGGAAGCCTCCCACTTATTTGTAAGTAGGCAGGAGTCATTCCCACCACACCCCCAGCCACCAGTTGGGTCCGCCACAACAGACCAGGGTCCATTCACCCATATCCTCCAAGTGACCTTGGCTCCTTCCTTGCAGTGGACTGCTTGGACCCGACGTGCTCCAGCCACGGCGTCTGTGTCCACGGAGAATGTCTCTGCAGCCCCGGCTGGGGGGGACTCAACTGCGAGCTGGCCAGAGTCCAGTGCCCAGACCAGTGCAGCGGGCACGGCACCTACCTGCCCGACACGGGCCTTTGCACCTGCGACCCCAACTGGATGGGCCCCGACTGCTCCATCGGTAAGTACAGGCATCCGGTTCTTGACTTCCCGCCGCTGTTGCTGATGCTCTTGGCTCCCAGCCAGGCTGAAGGGACTCGCGTCCTCCAATGCGTCATTTGCCGTCGTTGTCCAACTCCTCGCCGTTTCTTTCTTGCTTCTTTTCGCGCCTCTTGCAACGTCTGGGACCCTGACACACCGACCAAGGAATCGCTGCGCCCGCCTCCGGGACCTTGCTCCCTGTCCTTCCTTTGGATGGGGTGGAGGGGTGGAAATTTTTTCCCTCCGGGTTTTCTTCTGTGCATTCCCTAAAATGATCAGGGAGTGAAACAGCGAGTCGAAGCCCACTCAGGCGTAAAAACAGAGCAACCCCACCTTCCACCCCACTGCCATGCCTTGGTACCCTCAGCAGAAAGGGTCCACGCTGCTACCCTGATGCTGATTCTGTACCAAGTCAGGGGCTATGGCCTGCCTACCCCCCCCCCAAGTCCCGGAACATGGACCAGTCGGGCCATTCACCCCAGCCCGCCACTTCCCAGCTCGGGTCTGTTCCCCAAGCGTCTCTGCAGGGGTGGGGCGTGGCACACCGCCCCCTTTCTCTGGGTCTGGAGAGACCCCGCCATCAGGCTGGGATATATTTTTTTCTTCCTCCGTAGCAATTGGGAAAGGAAAGGCAGGTGCCACTTTGCCTCTGGAGGGGAGGGAGGAACATTTTCTTCTGAAAAGGACAAGCGGAAAGGAGAGAGCAAGAGAGAGAGAAAGAGAGGGAGAAAGAGAAAGGGAGGGAGGGAGAGAGAGAGGAGAGGGGGAGAGAGAGACAGAGAGAGATAAGGCAGAGGGAGAGAGAAAAAGAGAGAGATAAGGCAGAGGGAAAGAGAGAGAGCGAGAGAAGGAGAGAGGGAGTGAGTGTGCACCCCAGCGGGTCCTGGGGCTCTCTCCCACCTCCAAGAGTCAACTCTAGCCTCCACCTTCTCCCTGGCAGTCCTGGCCAGTCTCAGTCAAGGCGGCGGGCGTATGGGGGGAAACTGAGTCAGCCCGAGGACCCAGCCCCGCCGCTTCCCCCCAGGAGATGGGGGTGCCGTGAGCGAGTCCTCGGGGAGGGGTCCGTGCTGAGGGTGAATGTCTGGCACCTGTTTGTCCTCGAGTGAGAGGTCTGAACGCCAGAGCGTGTCCATCTGTCTGTCTGTCTCCCCAACCAACCAAACCCCACCCCACCCCTACCGCTTCCCCACTCCCAAAACCCCCAACCCCCCGCCCTTTCCCCCCAAAAAACCACGGCAAGGTTTTGAGCTCCTCGGAGAAAGAGACAGGGGCTGGCCACCTGGGGAACCCCCCACCCCCAGCTGCCTGGAGGTCAGCTCTGGTTGGCAGAGAGGGGCATCCAGAGCCTGGCCACCTGGGGGACCCCCAGCTGCCTGGAGGTCAGCTCTGGTTGGCAGGGAGGGACTTCCAGAGCTCGGCGTCCGTGGGTTTCTGGGAGGCGCATCTCCACAGAGCCCAGAAGCGTGGTCCTCCCTCTCCGGCGCGCATCTGCCGGACACTGCCCCCGCCCCAACCCATCCCACGACGCAAACACATTCCTGGTGCGCATCTCCCAGCCCCCAAGCCCGGGAGATTCCAGAGCCACTCAGGTGCAAGCATTTGTTCTCCTCCCCTTGCATGGACCACGGAGGTCACCACCTGCCGGCCGCCCCGCCCTGCGCAGCAGTGGCCGGCCAAGCCACCCTGCGCCGCGCGCCCTGGGGCGGGGGATCTGTAACCTTGTTTTTCTTGCAGAGGTGTGCTCAGTGGACTGTGGCACGCACGGCGTCTGCATCGGGAGAGCCTGCCGCTGCGAAGAGGGCTGGACAGGCGCCGCCTGCGACCAGCGTGTGTGCCACCCCCGCTGCACTGAGCACGGCACCTGTAGAGACGGCAAATGTGAATGCCGAGAGGGCTGGAATGGTGAACACTGCACCATTGGTAGGCAAACGGCAGGCACCGAAACAGGCACATATTGCTTTCTTCTCATAACTCGTAGAGCGATAGCGTGGGGGCGTGCGTGTGCGCTGCCAGCGGCTGTTCCCGCAGGGACCCCTTCCCCCTCCCTCCTCTGCTGATGCTGACCCTCCAAATCCCACCCATCATCCACCCCACTCCCCCCCACCCCGGGAGGGAGGATGGCAAAGACCCCCACCCCTACGTGGACCCGCTTTGCCAAGTCCCCTAGGGGAAACGGGAGCAGAGCTCACGCACAACTCCAGGTCCTGGTGGGCTATCCCGGAGAAGGGAGTGAGTGGACACGCATGGGAAACGGTCCAGCCTCAGAAGCTGCAGACACCCCAGAGAGCACCGTCTGCGGGGCTCCCTGGGTTTTTTTTTGGGGGGGGGCATTTTTTAAAAATTTTATTTTTTATCAAGTTGTTCACAGTTGATTGCATTTAATATTCCAACACCCCATCTCACACCACCATTAGACCTTCCCAGCACTATATTTTGGATGTTTCCCCTATCCAGTCCCACCGCCCCAAGCCCCAAAGCCTGCCCCCAAAGCAGGAGCTCAATGATTTATTTTATATGGCTTGTTATGAATAAGGCGCTAAAATCCCCCAAAATTTTCCTGAGAGGAACGTGTGTAGGGATTGTTGTATCTCACCCTGGACACGAATACGTTGTTACATATATATTGTGTGCTTATATATATATATATTTTTTTTTTTTTTTTATCGGAGATTGGTTGCCTTCTCCTTTAAACCCCATCCAATGCGGTGTGCTACTCTTGGGTCGCCAACGACTTACGGATTTTGCTTTGAATCCTCCCAGCTAGCTGCCAGGCAGCTGTAGAATCCCTCCTTTTAATGTTTTCTTCTTTATTTATTATTTATTTATTATTTTTTTAGGGCTGGAGCAATAGCACAGCAGGTAGGGCATTTGCCTTGCACGCGGCCAACCCAGGTTGGATTTCTCTGTCCTTCTTGGAGAGCCCAGCAAGCTACCAAGAGTATCTCACCCAGGCAAAGCCTGGCAAGCTCTCCGTGACGTATTCAATATGCCAACACAGTAACAACAAGTCTCAGAATGGAGACGTTACTGGTGCCCGTTTGAGCAAATCGATGAACAACGGGAGGACAATGTTTGTTTGTTATTATATTTTAGGGCTGGAGCAATAGCACAGTGGGTAGGGCGTTGACCTTGCACGCGACCAACCCGGGTTCAATTCCTCCATCCCCTCTTGAGAGCCTGGCAAGCTACTGAGAATATCCTGCCCGCACGGCAGAGCCTGGCAAGCTCCCTGTGGCATATTCAATATGCCAAACACAGTCACAACAAGTCTCATAATGGAGACGTTACTGGTGCCCGCTCGAGCAAATCCATGAACAGGAGGACAGTGCTACAGTGCAGTGCTATTTATTGATTTTTTTTAGTCCTTGTGAAATCCCAGTTATTCATGATTGGGTTTCAGGTATCCGATACTTCCACCTTTACCAATCTCTTCACCAATGTCCAATCCTTTCCATCAGCAATCAGTGTCCCCCAGCTTCTGTTAGTCTCCTGGGTAGCACCAGCAAGAGGCACTTTTTTTTTCTTCTTTTTGGGTCACACCACACTCAGCGATGCTCAGGGGTTACTCCTGGCTCTGCACTCAGGAATGACTCCTGACGGTGCTCAGGGGACCCTACGGGATGCGGGGAATCAAACCCGGGTTTGCTGCATGCAAGACAAACATCTTTCCCACTATACTATCACTCTGGTCCCTGTACTTTATTATTATTTTTTTAAATAAGCTTTGCACTGTGACTTAAAGGACTTTTGTGCATAACACTGTACCCCTCCCAATGCTCCTCCTCCAGTCGCGTGCATAGATGGTGCCCCCTCCCTGTCCTGTCCCCCAGCCCCCTACTGAATACCAGAGCTCATCTTTCTTTCCGCTATCTCTGGGTATTCCTTATTCTCCCATTCTGTTTCCTTCTTCCCGACACAGGAGAGAGATCATTCCGTGTCCGTCTCTCTCCCCTCACTGACTCGCTGCACTCAGCATGATCCCTTCCAGGTCCCTCCTGGAGCAGCAAACTATGTGATTTTATCATTTTTTAGGAACTTCAGAGCGGGCTAACATTTGTGGGCAAGACTCTAGCTTTGTGAAGCCTATGAAGCCGTTCAAACATTTCTCTTTTTATTTTTCTTTTTATAGTCATATATTGTTGAGGGTTTTTTTTTTTTTGCAGGGGCAGGGGTCACAGTCAGCAGTGCTCAATGGTCACTCCTGGCAGTGCTCAGGGGAACCTATGGGATGCCTGGAATCGAACCCAGGTCGGCCATGTGCAAGGCAAATGCCTCACCCATTGTACTGTCGCTCCAGCCCTCTTTTGAATATTTTCTAGCTGCTGTCTCAAGGCAAGGAGCTGGACGCCTGACCCCACCGGTCACTTGCACCATCATAAAATCACTCCACCTCCCCCCCATTCCCCACCGACCACCTCTCCCTGGAAGCTACTCGTTGGCTGAGGGTGATCTGATGCGACTTGCTCCTTCTCTGCCCTGGGAAATCTCAGTGCTCAGGATTTTTCTCTGGGCTGGGCTGGGTGTTTGGTGGCAGTTCTCATGCATCAAGAGCAGGACATATCTAGTACTTTCTTTCCTGTCCGCTCTCTTCCATTGAGCCCCAGCCCTGCCATCATCTTTTCCCCTTTTTAGAGAAATTGCCTTCCCCAGATTGGGGGCGTTCCCTCACAGATGCTGGGGAGAGGGACGGTGTTAGTGGAGCCTGAGTTTTACTCACCGGGAGTCTTTTTGCTTTGGATGCTCGATTCCATGCCGAGCTGGCTAAACCTCTTGCATTCGAGGAGCTTCTCTGAAAAGTTTCCAGTCAGATTTACCTATTTTTTTGCCCCTTCCCACCCACCCCCCACTGTAACTGTCCCCTTTGAAATTCCTTTTGCTTCTTGCCACCAATTGTGGGACCCTCGCTTAGGTCCTCTCCCCCACCCCCCGCCCCCCAATCCCCATCCCAGGAGAGGAGAAGGGGGAGGAGCCAGCTCCAGGGCTGACCCCTGAGGTCAGACTCAGTTTCCCATGCTGTTTATTCATGTGTTTGCTCTGCTCACCATCCCCCTCAACCCCGCCCCCAACACACGCACGCACGCACGCGTGCGCATGCGTGCGCACACACTCCCAGGTCTATCCAATTGGGCATCTGAGGGCAGCATCTCCCTCGGGCCATAGCCAGAGCACCCGGGACCCTGCAGGGACAGTCAGCTGGCAGTGAATTGTTTTTTGCAAAAATCTCTCAGTGACGCTCCGGACCCTGCACCCCCTTCCTTCCCTGCAGCCGCTTCCATGTTCAGTTCCCTGGGGGTGTCTGGGGGATACTTCAGAAGACGGGGCGCAGCTCAGTTCTGGGATAGGTGCCGTCCGTTCCTGGGATCAGGGAGACTCTTCCTTCCGGATACGCTTTTGGCATTGAAACTAGCTCCCACCACCTCCCCCCACCCCCGTGCCGCCGTTACCCCCCCTCACCTTCAGGGAGAGCCTCTTACCTCCCACCCAGCCCCGCTTCCCTTTTCTCTCCCCTTCCTACACCTTCTGGGGTTCAGGGTCCCTCACGGACACACGCTTGTCCTTTCTTACCCATTTCCTATCTTCTCTCTGAGAATTCCTGAAGGGCAACTGAATGATGGGGCCAGGAGGGGGAGTTGTCCAAGGAGAAAGGGGCAAATTTGGCCCCTTTTTGTAGCATCTTCCAGCTACCAATTTGTGTGTGTGTATATATATATATGTATATATATATGTATGTATATATATATACATATATATACAAGTCTCACAATGGAGACGTTACTGGTGCCTGCTCAAATCAATGAACAATGAGAGAACAGTGCTACATATGTGTGTATGTGCATATATATGTGTGTGTGTATATATATGTATATATATATACACATAGGTATATACATATTTACACATATGTGTGTATGTGTGTGTGTGTGTGTATAGTTCACTTGTTTACATTTTGTTGGCCACACGTGGTGGTTACTCCTGGCTCAGGGATAATTCCTGGTGGGCTTGGGGATATCCTAAGGGATATTAGGGATCGAACCTGGGTCAGCCACGTGTAAGGTCAGCACCTTGCCCCTGTATTATCACTCTGGCATGGTGTTTAATGGTCAAAGGAAAAGCGGAATACTTCCACGGCACATGGCACTGTGTGTCTTGCGTCTCTGTGTTAAGGTCACCAAGTCAGCCACACCCATTCCTCCAGGCCTGGAGGCATCTGGCCACCGACTGCCTGCCCCTACGCCTTTGATGATCGGCTCTTTACAGGGAGAACTCACCCAAACCCTGAATCAGAGTCGCGGTGAGAGGCGGGAGACAGTGGGGTGATAGTTCTGCAGGGTCCTTGGAAGGCGAACTTTGACAAAGAAATCAGAGCCTTACATAGGCAAAAAGGCATGAGAACGAAGAGAAAGTCACCACTGAGCTGAGTTATCTCACGTTGAGAGATTTGAGAGGGAGGTGGGATATGGCAGCTGGGAGTTTCCTGGGGCTGGCCCTCTGTGTGAGATAAACAGTGGGGAAAGTGTTTCTGCAACTTGAAGGGTTGGATTCCAATTCCACATCGCTGACTTCTGCAGAACCAGACAATAGACAGACATCCAAAGGCACGGTGTAGCGCAGGGCGTGGGGTTTCCGGGAAAACTGGGGTGCTGGACTTTGATTTCTCATGAGTTTGGGGGGCCACGTGGTGGGTTGTCAAAGTCAGCTTTGCTCATGGCCCACGTGGTAACAAAGGAGGTTTTTTTTTGTGTGTGTTTGCTTTTTGGGTCACACCCAGAGATGTACAGGGGTCACTCCTGGCTCTGCACTCAGGAATTACTCCTGGAGGTGCTCCGGGGACCCTATGGGATGCCGAGGATGAAACCCAGGTTGGCCATGTGCAAGACAAAGGAGGCTTCTAGAGTCTTGTGTCTCCCCAAACTGCTTCT